TAGGACAGCTGTCTTTGCAACGACCTATGGTCTATTTCTTGCCTCATCCAGTCTAAATGGCATTTGCGATAGATCTTGTAAATGCCAAAAAGTGCAGCACAGCACAGCAACGTTGTCATCAAAATTAGCAAAATATTTGTGATGCTTAGATGGTACCCAATATTGTTTGTGGCCGCTCCAGCAGCGTTCTGCGCAAGGATGACCTCGTCTTTAGACTGGCTACCACCCATTTTGACCTTGTATATTGGCCGAAATTTCGTAAACGATGTAAGATACCGGTCTTATATACCGCACAAAATGTTCTGCCATCGCGACAAATAGAAATTCGAGTACTCTGTATCTTAACGGACCACACAGGACGCGCGCACGCGCCTTTTATGGCAGGGTCGCCATGTGACGTTGGGAGTCTATGTAAATAATACTCAGTTGAATGTGATGGCTGGTCAGTCATGTGTGAATGCAAGACTGACTATAATTCGAATCAATACATTGTTTTATAGTTTCTCTTATATCTATCTTACATCTACTACATCAACAACACCCTCATTAAATGACTGGTTTACTAGCATGTAAAATGGTAAAGTTAGTTCTTTAGCACAAAATCTGAACAGTTTTGGTGGAAACTCATCGATTCCATGGCTCTTTTTTAAGTTTCTTAAGATTCTGTTAATTTCGTAAGGCTCTACAGGACCAAGGAACATAGTATTTTCAGTGGGGTGAATCACAGATGTACAATTTGGCTTCCCATCCAATGTTAGAGTGGTTGTATCTCCAATGGATGCAAAGAAACTATTAAAGCAGTTAGCAATATTTCTTGGCTCGCATATAAGGCTATCGTTAATTTTTAATTTTATATTACGATTATCTTTTTTTGGTTTTTTGTTGGTCCTTTCATTTACAATACTCCACATAGCTTTTGTTTTATTATTAGAATTTATTATTTTATTTTTGTAGTGTATTTTTTTTGAAGTTGCTACAACATTTTTTTTATGTTTTTTCGTAGTTTTTATAATATGTTTGTAATACTGGATTATTTGTTCTCAGTGCAAGCAATTTAAGAAGCCTTTTATTTCTACAAGAAAGTTTTATGCCTACGGTTAACCAATATTTTCTAAACCGGTTTTTTTATTTTAAGTTTTCGTACTGGCATACATGTATTTAATATACCTGTTAGTGTGTCTCTGAAAGTGTTATAGTTATCATTAGTATTCTTATTTTTCGATGAAGTGTTTTGCCAATTTTGCTCATTTAGTTTAGCCTTGAAGTGTTGCATTAAATATGCATATATATTATATATTTCACTAAATATTCTTATTTTTTTGTGCCATCTAATCTGTTTTGTTTGTTGGGGTCATTCAAGGTGAATGGCTGCACCACTGTGGTCAGAGAAGCCCAATTTCTCTACCGTTGTGGATATGTTGATGTTATTAAAATTTGTGAATATTAAGTCTATACAATCTTGAAGTGGTTTGTGTGATGCGTGTGGGATGCCTAATGAGTTGGGTAAAATTATGTTCCAACATGAGATCTATGAATTGGTTAGTTTTTGGCTTACTTTCGAGGGTATGAATATTGAAATCTCCTCCTAGAATTACATTTGATTTTGAGTATTTGCTTTTAACGTATTTAAGAATTTGTTTCCATCTCTTTATAAATATTTCTTCCTCTCGTCCATTCCAATATATAGACAACAATCATGTATTCTAATATTAATTCACATGCACATACCTCTAAAACATACTCTATTGACATGTTAGTTATACATTGAACTTCTCTATACTCTATGTGTTCACGAAGTAGGATGCACACCCCTCCGCCCACATGGTTGGTACGGGTAAATGAGGATGCCATACTGTAGCCGGTAATTTGTATAGTTTCTAGCTTCTCGGGTGTTAACCAGGATTCTGATATACATATAGCCATATATATTGGTTGTTCTACTATGAAGGCTTCTAGGAGATGTTGCTTGTTAAACAAACTTTGCATATTTTGATAAAGTATTTTAAATTGTAGGCCTGTTGTTTCGAAAGGAATGCTTAGGAGCTTTGATATTAGGTTCTGTCTGAGTAGTTAAGTTGCCAGTTTCTTCGTGAAAAGTGCTATTCTGACTGCTTGTTTGAGTTTTTCTTCTGTTGTACATATCGTGGTTTATTTGTGTTTCATCTAATTTGACGTTAGTGTTAACCTGTTTTCCTTCTATAAATAGTTTATTTTTACGGATAATTGCATATTTACCTTCTTTCCGGGCTTTAATCATTCCCTGTCTTAGTAGATATCTTTCTTTACGTTTGCTTTCGCTTAAGTATTCCGATACAAAAATTGTAATTCCTTGAAAACAAAGGCTGTTGTTTATAATGTAGGTACGTGGTTAACCTTTTACTCAAAAGTTCTACCACTAGTGGTCGATTATATTTAATTTGTCTTCCTACTCTATACATTTCTTCTATGTAACCACTTAGGTCTAGTTGCATAGCGTCCCAGAAAAGCTGTAGAAGACGTTCGTGCAGATCATATTCCGGCTCTCCGTTGTACTCCGCAAAGCCATATAGCACTATTTTCTGGTGTTGGTTTCCGTACATTTTATTGTGGATGAAGTCATTTCCGATGGCGATAAGTTTTTTATTTCTTGCTTCAGAGTTTCGTTCTCCAATATTAATTTATTTATTTCACTATTTATTTGTTTCATATCTTCTATTCTTTGCTCGTTTTGTGTAGACAAAGATTGAAATTTACGTTCTACTTCTTCTCGTAATTCACCAATTGCCTTTCTTATTTCATTGTGTAAGGTATGCTTTAGCTCTGTTATTATTAAGTTGTTGTTTTCTTTCAAGCGTTGTATTATGAGTTCATTAAAATTTTGGAGTGTAAGTTCTGTTTGTGTGTGTAAAACCGCATCCCTCCCTTCAGCGTATAGTGTATCTCCCAGCAAGCATTGATCTGCCGAGTCCATACTATCGCATATGGTGTTTGCAACCCTTTTCCTGATAGTGATATTAGTTTTTTCTTCGGGTGTGTTCAATGTTAGTGCAGACTCAAGTTCTTGTTGACGTATGGGTGTATTTGTGTTGTTTCCTTTGGGCATTTTACATCGGCAGGCCTGGCACTTCAAAGCTTTTTTGAGCTCACGTGTCATTAAATTAAAGCGCTCCCTGGTAACATTCGCGCACTCTAAATCGTATGCGCTTTTGCATAACGTACATATTAAACGTTCTCTGTTTTGTACACTTTGTTTACATCCAGCGCATAAGGCCATGGCTAGAAGTAAAGCACAGAACCGGTTGTTTTATTTTTGTGAATAGCGCCCTCTTTTGGTCTATGGTTGCACGTTAAGTCAGATCGTATTTACGTTAGATAGATCCTGCGAAGCGTAGATTCATAGGTAATAGGCCCTGTAGTTCTCCACTTATTAAACAGATGGCGGTGGCCCTTTTTTTTACGACTATGAACTGCAGTTTTAATGTATTTAATAAGTTTTTGTTTGAGAATAATGTTTCACTATCTTTTTGCACTATTTTGGTCAGATATGGTGTTTTTTATTGATGTTTTAACACTTTCGATTGGATGGTTACGAGTTTTACGGTTATTTGACACTAGTTACAAAAGGTTCGTTAGAATTTTGTTTTTGAAAGTTATAAATAAATAAATAAATAAAATAAACTTTATTCTGTAAGAGAACAGCATACAACTTAATATAACTAACTTAATACAACTATATACAATAATATTACATTTTTAAAAACTTAAAACTATTGACGTACGTGCAACACTATACTACGCTCTCTGTGGTCACGAGTATTTAGTAGTCTATGAGACTGTGATCATATATGACGTGGCGCTGACGCGGTGATCACTATTATTTTTGATACTATGTTTTGCTTGTAACCAAGCAGTCCTCTCAATCTTAACCACATAGATAGCTTGTGCGGATGAGAGTTGTCTTTCTTCGTCATTCAGATGATTTAAATGTAGCATGGAAAATAATCTTTTCACTCTTTCAGAATTTCTCTCACATTTTTCAAACGCACATATATTGAAATTTTCCACGCTATGTATAATCGGTACAATATCTTTTAAAGTTAAGTCTTTTTCCGTACTATTTAATATCTTAACAGGGATTTTCCCATCACGCGGCGTCACTATTGAATTTGCTAAAAAAACTCCATCACGCAACTCTTTTGAATAAACTACACCGTCTCCTTTAAATTTAGTATTGATAAAATGAATACATTCTGATCTCGACGGAATGAATAAACAATCATCATAATTATGTCGCAAAGTCGAAAGATATATTCTTTCATTATTTATGTTTAATAATGATAACGAACTCGTCTCGTAATTCAATATAGCAGAGTAGTTATTTAAAAAGTCACTACCAATAATACCACTTGCCTTACAAGGTAAGGTATGGAATACATAGAACTTGTGACTAAATGTATTGCCTTTCGCTTGTAAATCTAAACAAACGTGTCCAATAGCTTCTATAGTACCGCCAATACCTCTACTAACAGTGTTCTCTATATGGAAAGGAATGTTGTGTGCATGAATATGCCGAGGTCGGCTGAAGTGGCACCGCGCCTAACGCGCGCGCTCCGCAGAAGCTCTTCCCGCAGCCCGCGCCGCGCCAGCCGCACCACGATGCGCCGACACCGCGCCGCGCCCGCCGACTCGCCTGACTCACGTGACCGCGCCACACGGGGGCCCACGCGCTCTGCGAACACTATATCCCGGGGCTCCAAGGTGACACCTAGTTTCTTCGCTACCAGTTCCACGGAGTGAAACACATTCTCACCGGGACTCTCAGGGAGGTTCGAGATCTCGATGTCAGAGAGCAGCAGTTCCTGCTCTCGTTCACCGAGCTCTGTTTGCAGCTGCTTCACCGTGTGCTCCAACTGGTCCACCGCAACCTCGGGGGAGGTCGCCTGCTTCCTCTCGAGGTCATCCAGACGTGACTCCAGGTGATCGACCTTTTTTTTGTAGGTAGCCACAGTCTGACGCAGGTCAGCCATCTCGAGGCGGAGCTCCCGCAGCTCGGTTCTAATATCTTCCCTCATTTCCTTCATCTCTGCTCTCATCAGCTTTATTTCATAGGCAATATCAGCACCATGATCTTGATCTTTACTAGCCGAGCCCCCGGTAGATTGAGAGGAGTCATAGGAACTAGTGGGGGAAGTCTCATTCTTCTCATTGCGCGTTTCCTTTGCCGAGCTCGGCTGATTGCGGTCCTTGGGGATATTATTTTTGCAGTCTTGGCACTGCCATTCCCTGCTTACCCTCGTAGCATCCGGCAAGCGCAAACAAGGCAGGTGATACTTTTTATTGCATCTGTATCATACAGCGACACCTTTTGACGAGATAAATTTACCACATGCTGCGCAGTTTGCCATTTTATTGATATGTAGCAGATAGTTATAATAATAGGTTTAGGTATTTTTTATGGGAGGGGGCAAACGAGCAGATGGGTCACCCGATGGAAGTCTACAAGATCAATTAAACACTCGTCCGTATCGAAGTGTCGCAATTAGTTCTGCTATCGATCAACAGATGGCGTTGTTGTCAGTATCAGTTTAAGGCTTTATTTTAGGCTGTATTACGCAATTTTTCCATTCGTCACGAAATAGACCTATCACCACACACGCGGCGAGGGAGATTAAAGTAGTTCTGGGAGCGACAGAGTTGCTTTTTCACTAATTTAGCACTTTTATTTTGTAGATTAGGGTAGATATTAATCACTGTTCTGATTCGTATTTTATATGTCGAATAATAAAAGGAGGGGTTATTAAAAAAAAGGCAGACCCACTGACCCAGTTGGGGCCAACGGTTCTGCTTACAATATCATAGAGTTTAATATTCCTTTCTTTGTAACTATTTACAATACGCATATGCAATCTAGTAAAATATTTGTATGAAGAGGTTCAGCAATAAGAAGCAAGTAAATTAAACATCACAGTATCAATTTATTATAAATCAAATTAACATAGTTTCACTTACAATGTTACGCCTTTCGGAGTCGCCAGCAAATTAAAGCCTCTCGACTCGAATCGCTGGCTTTTATAATGCACTCCCCGCCATTCCAAAGTTTACGTCATATTAACACGTGGTTTTACAAATACCCACATAATTGAATACCTACCTAATTCTATGCAATATCATAGTTAAACTCTAATTACAATTGTTTATCAAATCTAGAACTGTTTGTAATTTTACAATCTGCGCTTAGTAATTAATAATTTAGAATAATGTTAATAATTTAATCATCTATTTATAAATGCGGCGACACGGCCATACTGATTTGCGATGCGTGCTCTGCATCGCGGAAACCCTTTCTGTAAGAGAGATATAATTTTATGAGGCTTGGCACTTCCACAGTACACACAAGCCTAAAATTAAAGTGTTGACTGATCCATTGCAACATGTATCACTGCTCATTCCACATGACAACAGTGACGAAGATTATTACCTAAACTATTACTGCTCATTCCACATGACAACAGTGACGAAGATTATTACCTAAACTATTACTGCTCATTCCACATGACAACAGTAAAATAAATAATTATTATTGGATAAGGATAGGTGCGGGTAAGGTAATTACTGCAAAGTGCAGAGGGCATAAAGGATAGTGGAAAAGGTCGATGCTGTGCTCTGGGCGGTCTTGTACGCCGTGGTACACAGGGGATTTTTTTCTTTATTCTTTCAGGATAGGTTCATTAATGGCTTTATTGGTCGGCTCCACACGCCAATAAGCATCTTTTTGCCTGAACATGATTAATTGGCTTATTGGTCGGCTCCACACGCCAATAAGCATCTTTTTACGTTCAGAGTCATATCAGTCGACTTATTGGTCGCTCCACGCGCCAATAAGCATATTTTTTTCTTTTATTGTTATTTTTTACCATAGTGCATATTAGAGAAGGAACAGACTGAAAAGTTCTCACCAGATGTTCAATCTGTGGGGCTAGAGGATTCGGATTCGGCAAGTGTATCAGATGTGGCCAGCGTGTGCAGCGCTGCCACCACACCCGAAGGTCCGGGTTGCTGATCATCTGGGGGCGACACGGTCGTCTGAGCGCCACCAGGTTGTGGGGCGCGGCGCAACTGATCGTGTGCAACTTTGCGCGCTCGTCCACGGTGTCCCACTACTTTTTTTACAAGGTAGCGGTCGTTTTCAAGCACCCTGTGAACTTCGTAAGGAACACTAAATTTGAGATCAAGAGATGTCTGGTTCCTAGGGTTATTTTTAATCATAACGAAGTCACCACGGTGGAAACGGTGAATTTTTGCGCGGCCAGTATCAAATCTAGCCTTGTCTTTAGCAGATGCCTCGGTCATTCGCTGTTGTACATGCCGTTCGAGAGCTTCGAAGTTGATTGACGAATTGTCAAAGTTAACCAAGTTAAGCAGTTCTGGTGGTACACAGTTTTGACGTCGAGTAAGTAACGTAAGTGGAGCTACCCCTGTAGTTCTGTGTACTGTGCAGTTAAGAGCAAGTTGAAGGCTTTCTAGTGCAGTGTGCCAGTCTGGAGTCTCATAATTTTTTATCATGATAAGGCTGTTCTTTAATGTCGCCATCACTCGCTCTACTTGCCCGTTAGCTCGGCTGATTCCTGGGGATATAGCGTGAATATTTATGTTGAACATGTCACAATACTGCTTATATTCCCTTAGGAACTCACGTCCTCCATCTACGACAACTTGTCTAGGAGCTCCGAAAAGATGAATTACTTGTTTTAACGCTGCTAGAGTGCTGTGTTGACTTTTGTCATTGGTGTGGCGAAGCAAAACATATTTAGTAAAGGCATCAACTGTTACCACAACGTACTCCTGTTCATGTGGAGTACCTAGTTTACCCGTTACGTCCATATGTATCACTTCGAAAGGCACAGTTGGTTTGACGATAGGATGCAACTGTACTTGCGTTGCGCCGGATGTTTGTTTTGATGTTTTGCATATAACGCAGTTATCAACAAAGTCCCTGACGATGGTACTCATTTTGTCAAAATAATAACATTCTCTAATTTTGTGAAGGGTCTTCTCCCAGCCTGTGTGTTTAAGAGCACTGTGAAAGGTATTAATTAGGCTCCACTGGAAAGATTTCGGTACAACAATCAGTCTTTGCGTGCCAAAAATGGGATCTTGTTTCTCAAACTTAAGCACGTTGTCCTGTAGGTGGTATCCGGGGACTACGTCACCTCTACTCAAGGCATCTATAATACTGCGCAAATGGCTATCTCGACGCTGTTCGATGTTTATCCA